CCGGGCGGCAAGTCATTACATGCTGCCTGGCTTTCTGATTGGCCAGGAAGCCAGCTCCATGCTCCCTCATCACCAAGTGTCGAAGGAGCATGGAGCCGGCTTCCCAGCCAATTGGGAAGCTGGGGGGCAAGTAATTACCCTCCTCTCCTGACAACGGGAGTTCTGGTATCGAGCTAAGTATCAGGAGCATTTGGGGCGAGTACAAGTAATAAGGTAAGTCACCACTGACGCCAATGTCCTTCTTTTGTTATCTGTAAAGGGTGAATCTTCCCAGTGACCATCACACTGTACAGTACTGTGAGCTGTTGATCAAGTAATTAGTAGCAGAGGTTCCCTGAGACCGGAAAGTTATTTCAAATGTTCCTCCATGCGAGACGGGCTGGGTTAGGGAGTTGCATACATATTGCCGTCTGTCCACTAGATGGCAATGGTAGCATACAATGCTTCACAGAAGAGCTCCATGTGTGTTATGTGTAATCTCCATGCCGGCCTTTGCTGAATGTTGGTCAGCAGTGAGGTGATTTTTATTTTTCCTCTAGAGCTGTCAGTAAAGTTATCTTCTTATCTTCCAGGCTACTGTAGCTGCGTTTGCCGCGAGTGAAGGCCATTCGCACCCCAGGGTCGTTGAACTCCCCAAAACAGAAGAAGGTCTCGGATTTAACATAATGGGAGGAAAAGAGCAGAACTCTCCCATTTATATTTCCCGCATTATCCCTGGTGGGATCGCGGACAGACAAGGCTCACTGAAGCGCGGGGACCAGCTACTGTCTGTGAATGGAGTGGTAAGAGGCGGCCTTTTCCTTCACACTCTTTGTATGAGCAGTGGGCCTTGTTTTCTGTGTCTGCAGGAAGAACTGCAACCATAACATGCACATAGTTATAGAAGGTACTAGAAGATCTGACCCCCGAAAAATAATAGGTAAGCATTAGACATGTGCAATTCGTTTCGGAAAGGTTTGTTATTCGGATGAATTTTTGTTGCAGCAAAGTGACATTAGAGGGGGAAAAAAACTTTTTTTTACAATCTGCAGAAGAGGAAAAAAATAAAAGCGTGAGGTTCCCCCCTATTTCATACCAGACTTTTTAGGTCTGGTAGGAATTTTAAGAAGGACCCCCGCTCAAGTTAAAACAAAAAAAAAGTGTGTGGGGTTCCCCCCAAAATCCATACCAGGCCCTTTAGGTCTGGTAGGTATTTTCAGGGGGGACCCCTGCCCCCCAAAAGTGGGGGGAAACGTGGGGTCCCCTAACATTCCTAGCAGACCCTTGATCTGACCGCAGGGAAGGGGGGGGGGAATCCCTCCGCCTTACCAGACCACGTGCCCCCTCGGCATTGGGAGCGTGTCCACCGATGGGGGGACCTGTGCTCCGATCAAAGGTCTGGTAGGAATGTTTTTTCCCCCTTTTTGGGGGGCTGGGGTTCCCCCTTAAAATATCTACCAGACCAAAAGGGCCTGGTATGGATTTTGGGGGGTATCCCACGCACATTTTTGTTTTCATTTGGGTGGGATGTCCCTCCTAACATTCCTACCAGACTTAAAGGGCCTGGTATGAATTGGAGGAACCTCACACTTTTTTTTTTTTTTCCTTTTCTGCAGACTAAAAAAAAAAAGTGTTTTTTGTTTTTTTTCCCTCTGTTTATGCTGCAACGAAAATTCGTCCACAGACTATCGCTAACGAATTTCATCCAAATCCCGAAACTAATCCAAATCGAAGCAAAACTAAACAAATGTTTTTCCGGTGCACATGTCTAGTATGCAGGAATGCTCATATCAGTAGTATGTACTGATGCAGGCATGAACGAGCATTCCTGGTAAAATGAGAAAACATGGTCAGCTTTCATCGAGAGATCTGCTCTGCATTACTTTTTCTGCTGCTAGATGTCCTGACTCTGATGGTCAGCATCATTCAACTCATTTCCTCTGACCCCAGATCATTCTGGACCCATCATCCTGTGACTAGACAGTGAAAAAAGAACCAGCACAGTGGTGAGCTCATATCTCTGACAATCTGCTCTCTTCCAATCAGTATGCTTCTTGCCGGAACATTAAATAATTGGTTCCAGCAGTCCCTGTACTGGCCAGCTGTTATAGCGCTCCCTCACTCCAGCCTGCCCCCTCCTCCGCAGCAGATTGTACTCTTAGTGTCCTCATGTCTACGCACAGTGTATAGATGTGAGCATTTACTGGACCTTAGATTGCTGCAGAGGAGGGGGAGAGAGGCTCTAGGGACCGTTTTAAGTCAGCTAGGAGCATTGGGTGAGTATAACTTTTTATTTTTTACCTAGACACAAATGAGCACTTAACCTGTGCAGTGCGGGGTGTAGCCCATGTACTAACAAGGAAAATACTGCTAGAAGGAAAGAGCAGGGGGAGTGTCTTGCCTTGCTGCATTTGTGGAGACACGCACAGCTTATTAGCACACACAATAGGAGCAGAAAGTTAGGAGCAACTTTCTGCAAGGGAAAGGAGCCACCCTAAAACACGATATCAGGGACCAGCTGATTCTTCAGGAAGCTAAAACTTGTAATTCTCAAGGAGCAGCTTCCATTGTAAGTTGCATTTGAAATAACTTTACAACCTTTTCACTCTAACATTTTGATGTCATTTTAACTCTTCAATAACAGAAGTTGAATCCAATACAATTTTACTTTAGATAAATGCAATACAAAGGATGTTTTTTCCAGTGTAGGGCTCATTCAGATGGGCGTGCACGCCTGAAGAAGACCCAATCCAGGAAGGGATATGTGCTGAATGTAATTGCAAGCAGCAATCTGTTCTTCCCTATAGGAGGACGTGGCTGCACTCAATTACTCGCAGTCATACGCACACCTGAATCTGCACATCCGTGTGGGTCCAGGTGCCTGCACTTGGATGCAGACAGTGTGCGGGCACCCAGACACACACAGATGTGTGTAATTAGGTGCAGCTGCTTCCTGCCATAGGTAAGAACCAGCTGCTGCCCACAATTACATGCAGCACCTGTCTCTTCCGGGATCAGGTCTTTTTAAAAGTGTGCACGCCTTGAATGAACCCTAAGAAGAAAATGTATTTCCCAAGCCCTGCTCTGCTTGGAAAGGGAAACTCAAAATGAGTATTCGGGGAAGAGGCAGTGAGTGTCTAATTAGGCACTGTATTAACTAGCACCAAACAGGAGAGGGAACAGGGGAACATACCAAGGGCACAAAAAATAAACGGCACATGCAAACTCCTTCTACCGCACTATATGTTTTGATATTGAAATACAATTGCTTATAGTATTTGTCTCTTTCACAGAGCGTGGAAGGTGAACATCACGAGAAAGCAGTGGAGCTCCTGAAAGCCGCCCAGGGCAAGGTAAAACTGGTGGTCCGGTACACCCCGCGAGTCTTGGAAGAAATGGAGTCCCGCTTTGAAAAGATGAGATCTGCAAAACGCAGGCAACAAAACTAAGAAACGCGCCATGTATACAAGACACAAACTTTCTATTCCGCTCTAGAATTAGTTCCCCGTGAACTCTACATCCAATACAAAACTCGTTCTAGGTTCCGCCTCTAACGCACACAGCTGGAATTCCACTACCGTATACGTCTTTATCACACAAACGTTTACAGGGCAGTTTTTACTTACCCTCCTTTTTTAAATCTTGAAAGAAGTACAAAAAAAAACATTTTTAATATAGTGGTGTATAATACATTTGTAAACTGTTTTTTTTTCAATACTATAACTGTATCCCTTGGTATTCAGTGGTGGAGTGCAAAATGTATTCATGCTTGTTGTTTAAAGAGACCCTGTCACCACTCCAAGCCTGCTAAGATGAAGAGGTTATGTTATCGCGCTTACAAAACAAAACCTGTGGCTGCTTTTCTTGTTTTTTTCTGAAAAAATATCTGATATTCCGCTGTGGCTCCAACACTTTGCAGGAGTGTCTGATTGGCTTGTTCTTTTAGCCTGACGCTGCGGCTTCTCCTCTCTGGCCCTGACCACACCTCTGCTCTGGGGCCGGGGAAGCTTGACATGAGCTGCAAAGACAGTCTATGCAGATCTCGCAAGGCTTTTGCCCAGAGCACCCCCGCAAAGTATCACAGCAGAAAATTGGATGTAAAGCTGAACTGTAGACAGATATAAGACACACATTAATGCAGCGATGTAATCATTTATAGATCATTTAATGTATAGGGCTGCAGCTAACGTTTATTTTCATAATCGATTAGTTGCCTGATTTATGTTTTTCGATGAATGGATAAAAAAATATCTCGACCTCGATCTCTCTCTGTCGACCTCGATTCCGCTGTGGCTCCAACACTTTGCAGGAGTGTCTGATTGGCTTGTTCTTTTAGCCTGACGCTGCGGCTTCTCCTCTCTGGCCCTGACCACACCTCTGCTCTGGGGCCGGGGAAGCTTGACATGAGCTGCAAAGACAGTCTATGCAGATCTCGCAAGGCTTTTGCCCAGAGCACCCCCGCAAAGGATCACAGCAGAAAATTGGATGTAAAGCTGAACTGTAGACAGATATAAGACACACATTAATGCAGCGATGTAATCATTTATAGATCATTTAATGTATAGGGCTGCAGCTAACGTTTATTTTCATAATCGATTAGTTGCCTGATTTATGTTTTTCGATGAATGGATAAAAAAATATCTCGACCTCGATCTCTCTCTGTCGACCTCGATCTCTCTCTGTCGACCTCGATCTCTCTCTTGATCTCTCGACCTCTCTCGATCTCTATCTCTCTCTTGATCTCTCGACCTCGATCTCTCTCTTGATCTCTCGACCTCTGCTTGGAAACCTCTATCTCTCTCGACCTCTATCTCTCTCGACCTCGATCTCTTGATCTCTTGACCACTATCTCTCTCGACCTCGATCTCTATCTCTCTTGATCTCTTGACCACGATCTCTCTCGACCTCGATCCTAGTTGCCAACTATTCTCATTATCGATTAGTTGTTGCAGCCCTATAAATTTATTTTTAAAAGTAAGCAGCACAAGTACCTAAATGGACCTGGTATCCGCCTCTTCCAGTCCCTGTACAGCAGGGCTGGAGTGTGAGATGAAGAAGCGGCACAAGGAGCCAATCAGTTAATATGCTGGTGAAAAGCATGCTGTTAGGTGGCAAAAGCAGAGTGGCAGAGAGATGATCTCACCGTGCTGCTTCTTCTTTCACTGTCCAATCTGAGTCTGGGGCTTGTCCAAAACTACTTAGGCTCACAGGAAATAGGTTAAAGAAGAACTCTTGGAAAAAAAACATAATTAATCCTTGCACTGGGTCTACCCCTGTACTGTAAGGATTAAGTGCTCAGTTTTGTCTGGTGTTATAATCACCGGACCATCCAAGCAAGCCGACTCCCTGCTTCTGTGATCCCTGAAGCGTGTGTTCTCTTCCGCTGCACAGGTGTCACAGGTCAGCTCGAACTATGAGGTGAGTGAAAATCACTCACCTCATAGTTCTCCTTTAATCACAGCTGGAGTGCAGAGGTTGCCTAACCCTGGTCTACATGGTCTTGAACTGATCCTCGGCGTCCTCACGTCTGTGCACAGAGCGTGATGACACCAGGATCCTCAGACCCCTGCAGGAGAGGTTCTAGACACCTGTCTAAGAACAAGCCGACTTGGATGGTCTGGTAAGTATAACTGTTTTTTTTCCAGGACCTAGACACAAATGAGCACTTAACTCTTCCAGTGCTGGGGTAGCTCCCCTGCAAGAGTTAATATTTTTTCCCGGGGTTCTTCTTGAAATGATGCTGGCCATCAGACTGTGGACATCTAGTGGCAGAAAAAATACTACAGGTGGAAGTCTCTGGATTGAAGGGGAACACTGCAGCAAAAGTTGACTTTGCTATTTAACTTTTAATGGGCCATTCGTTTTATCTTTGGCTGGAGTTCTACTTAATAGAAAGGTAGCCCCAGCTTTTGCATTGTAAGGGCCTTCACATAACCTCTTCATCATAGCAGGCTTGGAGTGGTGACAGGGTCTCTTTTAAAGAGTCGGCCTCTTCAGAACTGACATTTCAGTAGTAGGCGGGTGTGAAGATGGCTTCAATCAACCACTGGCTTCTTACATCTCTCTGTGGTTCCAACAGTAAGCGCTCCCTGCTGGGTTTTCTTTTTTTGACCTCTACATGCAAAGGATGCTCCTTTCTTTTGCTGCAGCAAGAGAGGTCGCTGAACTCACGCTGTGCTTAAAAATAGAGGAAAATCCAGATGGACAGAACTGGGAACTTGAGTCCAGAGAGCTTGATCACAAAGGTATTAATAGAGTGGATGATTAGGCCCTCCAGCATCTCGGAAAACTAAAATGTCAGTTTTGGGAGTACTGACCTTTTATAGAAAAAAGTAAGTGGACTTTCAGCACTTGTCCTCACTTGTTCCAACAGCATTCTCTCTATGCAGGGGGTGACACAAGGTTTAAACAGTGGGTACTCCTGCCTGGAACTGGAGTGTCTACATCAGGGGTAGGCAACCTTGTGGAACTACAAGTCCCATGAAGCATTGCAAGACTCTGACGGGTACAGACATGACTCCCAGAGGCAAATGAATGATGGAATTTGGAGTTTAAAAGAGAACTATGGGGTCACCTTTTTATCCCATAGTTATCTTAAGGGTCACAGGAGGACATATACTAACCTCCTGTGACCCAAAGCTCAGTATATCGCAGGCTATTGCTCACTATATACCGAGATCGCCGCAGCCGGGACGGATCCTGACAATACTGCCGAGATCCACCCAGCTGCGTGAGTGACAGTGGGCTCTGCCTATCTAGAGGCAGAGCTAGCTGTGCCCGCTCCCTTCCCTGTCTGTTCCTCCACTCAGTGATGTAGGATGGGAGCGGGGAGGAGGGAATCCCTGTGGGGTGCGGTGACTGACAGTCACCTCTCTCTGCCGGGAGATGATCGGTAAGTGAGTGAGCGACGCTATGTGTTTGCTCACTTCCTGATCTATAAAGCCGACGTGCGACAGTTTCTTTATCAGCTCGACCTATGGGGTGAGTGAAAATCACTCAACCTCATAGTTCTCCTTTAATCACAGCTGGAGTGCCGAGGTTACCTAACTCTGGTCTACATGGTCTTGCAGCAGCTTCTTCCAGCCACCACTAGAGGGAGCTAAAGGGAAGTGAATTATATTGAGAGGATGAGCAGTCCATCCCTTCCTCAGGTCAGCGCCCTCTAGTGGTGGCATGAAAATGTGAACACACTACTTCCAGGCTTGGGGGGCACCCTCTGTCTGAAAACAAAAGCTACCACCAACTCAGTTACCCCTTGAAAATGACTTTTGTGAGCAGCCTTCAGGACAATGGAAAGCTAAGTGCTGAAGCTGAACTCTTTTAAAACTGTGCACAATATATAATACTGGAAGACTTAGATCAAATAGTGGCTGTATGCCAGAACTTGTGATGTTGGTTGTGTAAAAAAAATATCCTAGCTAGATGAACACATTAGTTTTGTACAGTACTGTGCAATGTATTTTTTTTCTTCCATATAGAAATTGTCATGGTGATCCTGTCATTTTAGTGGGTTGCAGAACATGTCACTGTGCTCCATCTTGTGTAGTGGCTTGTGGGATTGTTGTGTCACTTGTGTGACTAAACCAGGTACTGTAGAATTCAAGGATGCATTTAAGGAAAGGTCAAAGGCTGGGTAGTAAAATAAAGTGTGGAAAAGGTAGAATCCTTTTACCATGTTTGTAACCATTTGTAGATCGGCCACTGGAGGGAGCTCTCACCATGTGCTTCCACTCTACTTCTAACTGTTAAGAGATCCACAACAAGATTGAAGACGCTGTACTTTCCCTTCAAAGGGACACTAAACTCAGGAGTTAAATCTTAAAAATACATACAAGTACCTTTTAACTATGAACAAAAATGTATCTTATTTGTGTATCACTCGGCTATAGATCCTCAAATCATCTCTGAATTGGTGCTGACACTGTCCTTCCTTCTGGAGGGTGGCTACTTTTGTTCCCCATGGTCCCCGTGTATGTTGTAAAGTAGTCACCGCTCCAAGCTCACTCTTGTGTTGGACTACAATCTCACATTTAGTTTACTAATTTGTTTTGAGATTGTAGTCCATCACGGGAGTGAGCTTGGAGCGGTGACTACTTTACAACATACACGGGGACCATGGGGAACAAAAGTAGCCACCCTCCAGAAGGAAGGACAGTGACAGCACCAATTCAGAGATGATTTGAGGATCTATAGCCGAGTGATACACAAATAAGATACATTTTTGTTCATAGTTAAAAGGTACTTGTATGTATTTTTAAGATTTAACTCCTGAGTTTAGTGTCCCTTTTATAGGGGCTCAAGGTCAAATGGACCACCATCATTCTTGGAAACCTTTTTTTTTTTTACTTGGTGTGAGCAGTGCAGTTCAATATTTCACCTGCCATTGTAATTTGGCACTTTGGCTTCTCCAGTCACCACTAAGTAATGTTTTATAAATGTATTTGAGAAGAATTGCCCTACATTATATGGAGGGGGGTGGGTTCCTCTACAGTTCTACACCAAGCATGTAAAGGATTTCCAATCAAACAGGACATCATCCCTTTCATTTTGTTAGATCATTGGTGCTCATACTATATTATATACCAATAGTTGTATTGCTCAGCCTTGACACATTTTTCTGAAGGTAGTAGAGTGAATTTT